CCTAAAGCACTGCGGGAGGCAGTAGAAGACAGGAGTGCCTGGCGTGTTCTGGTCCATGGGGTCACGAAGAGTCGGACACGACTAAATGACTAAACAACAACAAAAGCACTTTGCAAGTGTCTATAAATTGTGTCCTCATCACGGAGGGCACGTGTTGCGGTGAGATCACTAAGACCGACCTCACTGTTTGTGTGGGTGGGATTGTTTGGATAGCCACAACCTGATTGGGTCCCTCGGTTGCTGGGGTAATTCTGGCCAATGGGGTTGAGAGAATTTGCAGCCGGGGGACCTATTTATGCCACTGCATGTTGCATTGAGCTTCCTCTTAGCACCTCGTCCATCAGATCACCCGCCCACCCTCCCTATATTTAGGGTCTTGCTATGACCTTGCTATGCCATCATGGGTCATCTGCTTTTGGGGGCAGGGACCTGGTAGGAATTTTCCCATTTGGCGGATTGGCTGGTGCTACGTGGGTTTCACCTGCCGCGTAGCAAATCATCACAACTTTGTAGGGTTTGGCAGTTAGGCATTGGTTCAAGGTGTGGTGGAGGGGAGGTTGTCACACCTGCCCCTGCAAATGTGCGATAGGGTATTCCGTTAAAGGAATCCAGGTGCTCACCATGCTTTTGTCCAATCCCCTTCCAAGGGTTAGGGTCATGCCAGAGCACCTAGGAGCATTTTGGGGTGAGGTTGCATCTGTTTTAGGACCAGTGCTTCCCCCGTATGTTTACCTTTACTGACTTCTGCCAATGTCCAGTTGTCAGTGCTGCCCTGCTGGAGGTGTAGGTGCAGCTAGTCGAACCAATGCCTAAGCAAAGCACTCACATTCTGCATCAATAAAGTTGTGGCCAAAATTATGCCAATAACCTTAAACTAATATTGGTGTCAACTGTGTCTGTCTTTGGGGGTCTTCACATGCAACTGCACACCGTGCAGACAGCAAGAGCTGCTTTTAAATCATTGACCTCTGTACACAAAGCGGGCATGTCCATTGTGGCTAACTTGAATCTTTGCTCCTTCCACTTTCAACACACATTGCTTCCCCTCCCCTGCAAATTTACTGAAATACCTGTAGTCCAGAAGAACAGACTGTGCAAGCTCAGCTAGTTATATTGCACTCAGTGTATGCCCAGAGGCTTCATTCTCTTGTACCATGCAAGCAACTCCATTGCTACATTTTTCTCCGCAAGGTGATCTAGGTATGCTCCCTCCCCTTTCAACATCCACTGCACTTCTTACAAAAAATAAAATAAAATCCTGGAATTGTGTTGATATACCAATAGTTTGGTAGCAAAAGCTGTGCAGGTGCAGTAAGTTATGCTCAGAGCTGCCTTTCCCTTGAGCTGCATGCAATTTCATGACTGTATTTCTCCTTTTGGTCGGTGGGTGCAAGGCATTCTGCATTGTGTCCAACTAATGTATGCTCAGAGAACACCCACTGAAATTAATGGCCCTGAGTTACTCATGTCATAGAATCATAGAGACCCTGAGGATCATCTGGTCCAACCCCCTGCAATGCAGGAAAATGCAGCTGTCCCTTACAGGGATCAAACCTGCAACCTTGGCATTATCAGCACCACGCTCTACCCAATTGAGCTATCCTGTCTTTTAATGCCAGTGGCTCTACTCTGAGTACAAGCTTCTGTGTATGCCCAGCAGCTTCCTTCCCCTATACCATGCAGGAAACTAAATGACTCTTTTTACTTTTGGTAAGGCACTCTGAATATGCTCAGAAGCTTCTTGCTTTGGTGTCACATGTGGCTCATTAATAACAGCAATGTCTATTTTATTGCAAGGCTCTTGTGGATTGGTATAGGGAGTTAACTAGGTTGGAGAAGGCTGGCTTAGAAGGCTTCATCCAGCCATCTTTACCAAGTGCAGGATCCATGCATAAAAGGCCCTATTCAATATGGTGGTTAAAGCATGCAGTTCTCCACCCTTGATTGTAATGAACAGGACAATCAGTGCACACAGGAGATCAGATGCAAAGTATTTGGATTGGAGAAACTGCCCTGTTTTGTTCGCTGACAAATTCAGCATTCATAATTACATTATGATTTCTGTACAACCCAGTGCAGTGGCTAATTTGTTTAGCTCATAGCAGTGGGTTTTCTTTTTTCCTGCACAAAGGAATAAATTTGTGTTTTATATTAATGGTGCTTCTGTAATTTCTCTACTTAAGCCATTATTTGTTTTTGTAACCACTTGGGGGCTATGTTTGTTTTTCGCTTAGCTTGTTTAATTTTGATTACCGTGGGGATGAAACTTGGGTTCATCATTCAGTAATAAAAATCAGAGATATGGCTATACTTCCTCTAAATTCTTCAAATGCTGTCATGAATGGCAGGTGTTTCTGCAGGTTACTGGATTATATTATCGCTAGAGGGCTGCAGTAAAGCCAGCATTTTGACACATAAATGAGAGGTTTCTAGTCAGATCCTATGCAAGTTTACCAGGAAGTAAGCCCTTCTGAGTGCATTAGAGCAGGGGTCAGCAAACTTTTTCAGCAAGGGGCTGGTCCACTGTCCCTCAAACCTTGTGGGGGGCCGGACTATATTTTGGGGGAAAAACACGAACAAATTCCTATGCCTCACAAAAACCCAGAGATGCATTTTAAATAAAAGGACGCATTCTACTCATGTAAAAACACGCTGATTCCCGGATCGTCCATGGGCCAGATTTAGAAGGCGATTGGGCCAGATCCGGCCCCCGAACCTTAGTTTGCCTACCCATGCATTAGAGCTTACTCCCATGTAGCTATGCATAGGATCATAACCTAGCCTCTTTACTGTTATCCACCTCATACACTGGCCAGGAAAGAAGAGTAAGAGAAGCTGCTGCAAGAATCCTATTCTGATCCTCGGAAGGTGCAGCTATAATTGCAAGAAGCTGTTTTCCATTTGCTCTGGCAATAGCCGCTTTGTGAACAGCTGCTGCGGGAGAAAATGCCCGTGCCTCTGGCAAAGATAGCCACCACTGCTGCAGAGGACCAGATGGACTGATGGAGGGCAGGTGCGGCGACAGCTTCTCCTACTTTTTCCTCCAAGAAAAAAAAATGCATTCACAGTGACCAACTGCAAATGAGTAAGTCCTCCGGCTGAACTCTACCAGACTTGCTTCTGCATAAACACATATAGGAATGGGTTGTAATAAGATGTGTGACTCTTGCATAAGCTACCCATTTTCTGAGTCTCTCCTACCCCTTGATCAAAGTGAGGGACAGGGGTCTGTTTTCCCCCGCCCCAACCCTGACACCTGAAATGAATGCTGCTGCAGGTGTCCCATGGTGCCTGATAATCCTGCTGCTTTCTCCACACAACGAGATATTTGCATCCCATTTATATAACATTTATATATTGTTATTGTGTATTATATTTGCATCCCACCAACATAGTGCTCATCTGGGAGCAGGCTAAGTCATTTCCTTAGTAATGTAGCTAGCATATCTCATGTCATGTGATCACATTTCACCATTCATGGTCGTATGTCCCATGAGTCTTATAACCCTGCCAACATACACAGATGATTGAGTCTTCCAGGCATGAAATCAGGAGGTCCTGGCATTGGACCCCACAGTTCTTCGTCTAGCACGCAGGAATGTTCTCAGTCAACAGAACACAATTCAGGAGGGATAGCATCATTTACTGATGAACTCTGAGGGTAAGATAAATTGTAAATTAAGCGAAATTCAACTGGGGCCTTTTTAGGCACCACACCCAAAGGGGAAAGGTGCAAATCAGGGTAAGGGAGACTGCCAAAAGGACCAGCAATCCAACCCAGTGCCTATTCCTTTCTGATCTTATGCCTTGCAACCTCAGGCATTTCTCTGACAGATTTCTGATTTTCAACTTTTGAAGCCCTTGGCGGGAACGCCACTGGGATACAAAAACCCTCAGAAAATCCAAGCCACAAATAAGAGGCAGCTACCGGGTCAGGGTATCTATTAAGCCACGCCTTCAAGGCGGGCAACTTAACGGGAGTACGTGCTAGGATCAATAAGACCTCACTTAACTTCTCGGGCTGCTTGAGGAGAGGCTCCCTGGCAGGACCCCTTATTGTACAGTGGTGCCCCGCAAGACGAATGCCTCGCAAGACGGAAAACTCGCTAGACGAAAGAGTTTTCCGTTTTGGAGGTGCCTCGCAAAACGAATCTGCTATGGGCTTGCTTCGCAAGACGAAAATGTCTTGCGAGTTCCTGGGGTTTTTTTCCTTTTCCCCTCTTTTCTAAGTCGCTAGCCGCTTATCTGCATATCTGATAAGCTGATAAGCTGCTAAAAGCCGCTAAAAGCCGCTAAAAGCGCTAATAGCGCTAATCCGCTAATCCCGTCAATGGGCTTGCTTCGCAAGACGAAAAAACCGCTAGACGAAGAGACTCCCAGAACGGATTCTTTTCGTCTTGCGAGGCACCACTGTATTCCCAACAAATAAGACACTTCCCTGGCTTCTTAGCATCTTGCTTGGATTTGGGCTGCTCAGTGGACTTACTCTCGAAATTTGGAGAGACATAAGTAGTTCACACATCAAGATCTTTACGATCCCATCGAGCAGAAGGGATCCTGGTGGCCAGACGTCGAAAACTCTCATCATAGCTTATAGCTGCTGCCTCACCGGCCAATGCAAAGGCCTTACGCACCAAAGATTGATAAATCCACAGGTGCATTTAAGTGTCTTGGGTTAAGCTGCAGAAATAACCCCAGCAAATACTAGAAAAGCATCAAGCCACTTCTCAAAGGTTCTCTCCACTTTAAGGGAGCTGGCCTTGCCCTTCCCGATGCAACCTGCTTATCATTGTCTGGGCATTCATTATGGGAAAGGACTTAGAAAATATCCACATAGCGACTGTTGAGTATCCTGTTTCGCATCCTGGATGGCAAATGCGCACCTGGGATAATATCCCTGACAGCAATGGTCGAAACTTTAACGTCTTTGACCGGTTCACCATCAATGCATTCCAGAAGAAGGCCGTACCTGGCCCTGTGCGTGTTGGCTCTACGCTGTCATGCCCACCTGGGAAGGCCTGAAGCCCCCTCACCGTGACCCCAATACAGACCCAGAGCCACGTCTGAATCGTCATCGGAGGTCTGATGTACCAGTAGAAGAGGAGGAATTGCCATCTCTGCACCTCTTGGCCCTGCGTTTGGAGCGACAACTCCTCTGCTGCTTGCCACCAGATGAAGGGACTCTAGACACCAAGAGATCCTTCTCCGAAGACTGGATGTTGAGCGCCTCCCTCGAAGGAGCCAACCAAACCTGCACAGAACTAAAAACATGTGAGGAGCTTGGCTGGGAAGAAGATCCCCCCCACACACACACTGTGCAAGCTGAGGCCCTTAACTCCCAGGCCCCGGGGGTGCCAACTGCGAACGAGGCAGTCCAGACTGGAAGGCCCACTGCATCATGGTACCCATAATCCTAGGACGACCCCTAGGGCTAGCTGGGACTGGGATCCTGGAAGGCTGAAATTGGGAGAGCAAGGCACCAGAAGGGTTGTAAGCCTTGCTCCCTTCGCTCATATCTGAAGGACCATGAGCGTCAAAAACAGTGGAAGACGTGGAGGAGCCGGGCTGAGAATCAGACTGCCTCCCAAATTGCTGAGCCAAAGACTCAAGCTTCGTATTAAACCTTAACATGGCCGCAGGGTCTGAACCAATATCAGCCATGGTTGCACCCAAGCAATCCAGCGTATGCTGAGGAACCGCTGGGGCAGGCGCTGAATGCAGTGACTGAGACGGGCCTCTAATCACCCTCTTAGAAGGGAGGGCAGGACTTGGATTCCTCTTAATAGACACCCCAATCCCTTCTTTACTAAACGGGGGGGTACTGAAATGTACACACAATAATAAAAGCACCCTGGGATCAACATGGCACTCCCGCCAAAACAAGATGGCGCTCCCACCAAGACAAGATGGCACTCCCGCCAAATTAGCTGGGGCTAAAACCTCCCCCAAATCGAAATAGATAAAATGGCAATCAGGCTAACGGGGGGGGGGAGAGAGTTCCCAGTCCTAGGAAATTCCCAAGCAGAACGGTAATGGAAAATTAGCGAATCACTCAGAGAGGGAACTCTCAAAGATGCCCAAAGCGATCGGCTGGACAGAACAGCCCAGACAACAAAACGCACAAATCGCCCAGTAAATTCAAAGCCCCAAAGCTGCAGCCACAGCCAGAACCGAGAACAAAAATGCCACTGCGCAAAGAGCCCAAAGAGAAAATTAAGCGGGCAGCGGCAAGCTCCAAAGACCGGGAGCGCTCAGGGGGCAGAAGCCCCGTGGGGCAGAAGCCCCTCTAGGGGGAAGGGAAAGGAAGGGAAGGGAATAATTAACCAAGGAGGGGAAGAAAACAATTGGAAGGAATTAAAGGGAAAGAAAGGATAACGGAAAGAAATTACCAGGACGATTCGTCGAAGGTAATCTCTCTTGGCTGCTAGCTTGTTCCGAATGCATGCACCGAAAGAGGAAGCTCTGGGTCATGTGCATGGGTATATATAGGTCTCTCGATCCGTTTGGACTGCGCCCCATTGGCCAGATTGAACCCAACACCTAGGGACCTACCAATCGGGTGTTGTGGCTGACCAATTGTACCCACCCACAACACAGGGTGTCAGTTTCCAGGTCTCACTGCAACACGTGCCCTCTTTTAGGGAGGACACGATTTAACTGAGATCTGTTTTCACACACACATTGAAAGAGTAAAACTCTGATCCTTTCCAAAATTTCAAAATGTGAATGGGGACCATTGCTGCACAATGGCCAGATGTTTGACTAGGTGCTGAGCTGTTGAATTTTAAACCAGCGTACTGAGATTATGTAATCAGTTCTGAATTTAAGGGGCTGACTATTAGCATATACATCTCTTAAAAAATAACCTGGCCCTTATTCTTCCCATCCTGCCCAAACCCTGCTATTTGCTTTCAGTTTGCAGCAAGTGTTTATCAAGAAAGGGGAGCAAGGAGGACTTGTTGGGCTATGTTTACGTCTTCCAGACTAATGTTGTTTTGAAAAATGGATTCTCCATCACATTGCTATTTCTTAAAATATTAGTGGGGAAAGGCATCATTCCCCACCTAATGGAAGATAATAACTTATTCTCTTACATGATTTTTATAGCTATTCTATTAATAGAAACTCTGTTGTTCAACTTCCGAGTGTGTGTGTGTTGTTGTTTTTTAGTTTCCACCTGAATTCTTTATCCATTGACTCAAAGCTGTCAGAGGTGCTGCTTGATAGCATCTCATGATGTTTGGAGCAGCTAATCCTCCACTTCTAAACTCCAACCTTAGGAGCAATTCTCCTTGTCTTTATAATATGATATTATCCTGTTAACACTTGTCTGAATAGTACTTATGTTAAGCGTAGGAACTTTTAATGGGTTAGCCTAAAAGAAAGAAAGATGAAACACTGCAATTCCTTCATCTTTACTTTAATCAAATTTCTAATTATTTTGTGTGTGTGGCAGGGAGAAGGGAGTAGCCTTGTATTTCCCTCTCCCCGCCCCGTGATGTTGATACACTCTTGTTATTTGTAGATTAAAGGGATGTTTTGTCACTTGAACAGCTGTTGTGGAACAAACTGCTTATTAATGTTATCTAAATATGAAAATATATTTAATGCTTTATTTTCAAAACAGATAGGGGAGAAATGCATTTTTGTTTTGAAATATTTGTTGTAGAGTTTCTGATGGGCTGTGTATTTTTTATTTTATTTTGTTATGTGTGTTTACTTGGAAGTAGACCTCATGTGCATAGGAATGCATCTTCAATGTCATTGTAGAAACTTTTTCCTTTCCTTCAAGGAGCTGAACGTGGTGTACATGGTTCTCCCCCTTCCCATTTCATCCTCATAAAGAACCCTGTGAGGTAGGTTAGTTTGAGAGACAGTGACTGGTCACCCAATAAGCTTCATGGATGAATGGGGATCTGAACTCCTGTCCCCAGGGTCCTAGTCTTAGGACTCAGCTACACAGCTGCAAATAAAACATTTTAAATGTGTTGTAAAGTGCAATATACAAATGTGACACTAGATGGCAACAGTGAGCTATGGAAATTTCAATTTATTTTTCATAACTCCTACCCCCCCCCCAAAAAAGCATTTTCACAACTTTTTATTTTTATGTGTGTAGATCCCACTCTGCCCTCAAACCATTTAATCACACTGGCAGAAAGACTCCCAGAAATGATTAGGATGGGTGTTAAAATACAATAAAACCTAATTCTAGGATACATTTTTACAGCGTTTAGAGGATGAATGCAAAGTGGTAATGGACTCCACAGTCAACTGAAAAGGTGAATCTGTGCTGCTGAGCTTGTTTTCACCACCCTGATCATTTTGAGTGGATATGTCTTCTATATTATATGGGCGTACAATCCAACAGTATCTCTTCCCTAAGGCATGTGAATCCAGAGAGATATCTGGAAGGTTACTTTAACAGAGGATAGCAGGGAACAGAGTAAGTACCCCTGGAAGAGCTGAGAGGACCTTTCTACTCAGCCTATCCTCATAGGTGCTCCTGTGATTAGAAGGAAGACCTATACAATAAAGTTAGAAATAATGAAACAACAAAGAACGGAGTAGTTGTTTCCTTTTTTAATAATTATTCTGCATAAAGCCATCAACTTTGAGATTTTCAAGTGGTACTAAATTGATAGGAGGATAAAGCATGGAATACATTTGTAGATAATTGTATGTGAAACATCTAAAAACAGCAGAAGGGGAAACTTCCACTCACCCAAAGGCTTGATCTGACACCCAAAACTTTACAACTATGTTACAAAATGCACCAAGGAACAGGAGGGCATTCCACAACTTGGGGAATCCTACAAAGCATATATATCATCAAGCCACACAGGGCAGTAGTACCCTATCAGGGTTGATATGGAAAGAGGTGCTTCATCCGGGGTCCAAGTCATTTAGGTATTTGTGTGCCTTAATTTGGGCTCCGTAGAAAATGGGCAACCAGTGCAGGTTCTTTAAGGATGTTGTGATATGAATCTGCCAAGAATATTTACATTTTCATATTCTTGGAAGATAAGGACTACCTAAGTGGCAGTTAAAATAAGTTATTATACCTATGCATTACAGATGTCAGGCATAGGCAAACTCGGCCCTCCAGATGTTTTGGGACTACAACTCCCATCATCCCTAGCTAACAGGACCACTAGTCAGGGATGATGGGAATTGTAGTCTTGAAACTTCTGGAGGGCCGAGTTTGCCTATGCCTGGAATAGGAGCTTAGGAAACATGGAGAAGGAGATTTTCAAGATACTTAAACACCGTTTTCAAAAAACATGCTAAAAGCCACCTTGCAACCAGAGTCTTCAGTAATCATCTCCCAAACTTTTGGCAGCAACTGCTAAATGCTGCCTTTTTGAGAGCGGATAGTTTGCTTCTCAATAAATTTGAGTTTTATACTGGATTCCAGACCCAATGCCATTTCATCATGCTGCTTCCTCTGGTGGAACCCAGCAAGATAACCTAGTTTTCTTGGACATAAGGATTTTTCCTGTTAGTACAGCCAGTCATCGTAACTGAATTGCTTTGGTTCTTCAGTTTGTGTAAATTGATCATTTTGCCTCCAGTTGTGTTATGATTAATAGAATGTCTCTTTATCTTGATAACATCAGAGCCCTGTGGTGTGCTGCATGCATGTTGCTCAGTAGCTTGTTGTGATTGACGTTGGGATGTTAAATTACCTTTTGGTACCTGAATAGCACTTAGAGAAACACATTGCCAACCTGTCAAAAGCAGGCACTTAGCACTTTTTAGACGAGGGTTACCAAAGCATGTGTGTGCCCTTTACCCCTTGTGAAAGTCTACAAGGGACTCTGTCCAGTGAGGTCAGTTGTTTTCATAGTTTACCATTTAAAGCCTATGAAATAACTTGAGCAAGCAAATTCCCATGTTTTAAACTATTTCCATTATGAAACTCTAAAGTCATCAGCCTAGAAATTTGGCTTAAAAGAAAAGAAAGAGCAATTCCGTAGACTGCAAAAACAAATGATAAGATAATTAAATATGAACCCCATCATGATTCATCATAGGAGTGTGTTATTAGCATCCCTATAATGAGTCAGAGGGAGGTTATTTTTAGCATGTAATGTTAAAATGTAAATATATTAATGACCCAGTTGTAGAAATGTGTTTTTATTAAACCTTGGAGACTTATAAAAATAGGTCTTCAGTTTCCAAGAATGTTTAACAAGAAAAAAGGAAGTAGGAAATCAGATTTACATAGAAGGTTATCATAGTGATTATAATCTGACAGTGACAATAATATTTGATTTATTCTACCTCATTTGACCATAATGCCATTAGTAATTTTCCTCTTACACTAGATTGAGTCTGTGTACATTGAAGGGTAGTCATAAAGTACCGTAGGTGCCACATTCTCTGCCTTCTAGGTGCCTTAAATAAT